GGGTTGTCACTAAAGTCTTGGATGAATGATCAAGGACTTCATTATATAATAATTTGAAAATGTTGTACCAAGGGAAAACTGCCATTTAGCAATATTTACTCAATAACGCTTTAAGTATTCCTGTATATCGATTTTAAAGGAATTATTGAATATACGCCGAGCTTCTCACACTCATTTTGGGAACTTTTTCAACTACTACATTGAGAAACTAATTAGTTGACTGAGGCCAGGATATCAGAACTCCATGAATGAATTGGTTAGCTGTGATACAATATTGCAACAAGTAAATTTACTTTTTCGTGAAAACTAATTTTCTTTATCACTTGGCGATAACTGCAAAGATAAACTGTTATTTCATCAGAAAATAGAGTGAAGAAAAAAATAATAAATCTGGGGTAGTTTCATTTTCTTCGTCATGAGATAAACTTCCGGTTGATTCATGCTTATGATGAAAAATATAAACACGAGGAACTCCGAACAGCACTATGAGTTCTCATACGATTGCGTTATGTGTTAGTTGTTTTAAAGAGCATGACACGCAACAAGTCTCCTTGATGTACTTTTGATCGTTAAGAGTAATTGTTCTAGTGTTTCCACTCAAAGAAAATCGGTATGGCTTTTTTCTTTATTATTTCAGCAATAATAATAGAAGTAAAAACAAGAATAAAGACATAAAGAATGACAAAATTGGACAACAATGACAAATGAAAGTAGATTCTAGAATCTATTATTCTATTATTTTCACAAACTAGAATTTTGGGCTGGATTGAACTTTGGTGGACTCACTGTGTTTACATGAATACGAACGAACGAATACGAGTACTAGCCATACCATAACAACTGTGGGGGGGTTTCAGGGACCCTTGGAATTGGAAACAATTAAAAAACACATAAAAATGCAAAACATTAACAATAGCCTTCATAAGAGCGGACCATTGCACAGCTGGGCTTGAAACTAAAAGTAGTTTTGGCTTTGTTCAGTGCTGGGTCCACCAAAGTTCAATCTTAACATATTTTGTTACAAAATGAAAATGAAAAATGAGAAAGATTTTGGCCTATCACTAGATATCTAGATCTATCAGATAAACAAATCAGATGTTACACTAGATCTAGTAGATTCTAGATTAAATCTAATACTCTTACAGTGGAATCCTGTTTTAACGAGAGGGAGGGGACCGGTGCGAAACATCCGTTATAGCAGGATTCTCGTTATGAGGGATCCAGTAATAAATTCAAGAGAAATAGTACAGTAGGCCGAATCTATGAGTCTGGTTTTCTGTTTGTTTCTTTTTGTAATCTCCCCTGATGATGATTTGGTTCAACATGATCTCTAGGTCTTACTTGATCAAAAATCGGATAATGTTTCTTTCTCTAACGCTAGCGATATTGACAGCTCGGCGTTAGCGATCAGAAAGAAAGTTCTCTAGGCTAAGTCGCTCGCTGTGTTGTCCCCCCCGCCCCCCAACCACACACTGTGGTGCGTTCCGTCTGCTGGCGCTCGTCACACATTCGCTCCACCCATCACATCACAATCACATCGTTGTGACCTCTCCATCCCCGCATCGGAGAAGTGAGAGGCATGGTAGGCCTAGATAATCTAGACTAGGCTGGCCTATCATGCGATGCGTTCTGCTTGTCTGTGCATACCACTTCTCCCCACTCATTCTCTCCGGCCTTCATTGTTGGTACATGTGGGCTCACCCATTCTTTGTTTCAAAAGATCACCAAGTTTTTCAACTGGCAAGGTTTTGCATGAGTAAATGGCCTATGCGCTGTGCACAGCAGCAGCAATATTCCGCTATAACTGACTCGCATTCTGTCTGATTGCGCAATAGCAGTATTTTATTTACAAAGATAAAGAAGGGAAAAAAACGGGGTTTTAGAAAAGTGTCTTTATAACAGACTTCTCGTTATTTCAGGACTCGTTATAAGTGGATTCCACTTTACAAAGAAAGTGTTCTGAAATTCAGAATGAATGATGTAGATTCTAGGACGATGTCTCTCATCAACAATCTATATCTGCATTGAGTGAAGCCTACACACAGCCTGTGACACAGCAACTGTCTACTCATACTCGTCATAACTTTATTTTACTTAATTTATTATACTTCTGCTACTACCCCTTGTACCTGTACTTGCGTAGCCTACACTGTACAACAGTGAACAGCTTTGGTCATGAATTATGTCATGTTATCTCATCTCCTCAGACTCAAGTGAAGGTTAACTCTTTCCGGACGTAGTTGTCCTGACATAATTAACTTACAATGTGACTCGATTCGGCTACATAGGTGGTGTATAAAATAACTTAATTCATATATATATATTTATAAGCATAACCATCACTCAAAACGTAACATATGATATCAAACTGAAGGAAATTGAATAAGGAATACATTCCAACAAGAAAAAAAGGATTAATTTTGAACATAAGGATACATTACAAGGGTTAGAAATGGCGATGATGGTGAGAAAAACACATTTTGACGTGAAAAAATTACACTCACTAAACATGTGAAAACAAATTAGCATAGTATCTTATCATATATGCATGCCAAGAGCAGATTCCATAAATTTCTGAATGTGCAGCTTTTTATTTCAATGCAATATTCCAATTTTTGTTTGAGTTTAAATATTTATACTGTGTCCGGTTAGATCGTTTTGTTGATGCAAGACCGCAAGAACTAATTCACTCGTTTTTCGCCAGACCGACGCTTTGAAAAAGTGAAACTAGATGTTTTCATTTCCTTAACCCTTTACCGATATATCGGCGATACGTCCGGAAAGAGTTAAAGGCAAGAATGTTTCCAATTCAATCTTAAATATTTATCTAAGTTGTATCATTTTTCTAGATTTCATCTACTGTATGTTAAATGATTTATGATTTGCTGGATTCAGATGGGTTTCAAATTTTGAACCGTTTGCAAAATCTCAAACTCTGTGGGAAAAAAACCCCAGGAGGATGTCTCCCTACAGGCACCCCCCTACCCCCCTCAAAGTTTGGCATATTTGTAAGTCAATATTGTTCTACTTAAACGTTCCTCGTACAAGAATATTTTGTGGCACCCGCTGCAGCGGGACTTTACCAGAATCACCTTTTAAATTTCTCTATAAACTCAATTACTTTGGTCTTATTGGGTTGAGAGGGGCAAGGAAAGTTCCGAACTTGGATACAGCAGGAGAGATCCGGCGAGCTCTATTAGGGGAAGGGGGTTGAAATATGTTGGGCTGTTGGCAGGCTCCAAACTTGAAACAGGCAGTCAGCGGTGTTATGATTGACCAGTCCAGTGATGAGTGGGGTGGGGCAGGCGGCAGAGAAAGATGGTTAGAGAGATCCATTACCTAAGCCACTTTTAAATTGATGTGCCCTAGGCCTAGGCTGCTAGGCCAAAAAGTAAAAGAAGAGGAGAGCGTGTAGTGTGTGATTCCTGAATCATTGAATTGTGATCGTTGATGCTCAGGCATACGCACGCGTTCGCTTCACCAGTTCTACAGAAAGCATACTGGTACAATAGACAGCACAAGCTATAATACGGAGGAAAAGATGGCTTCCAACAAAGACAAAAGTTATTTTCTTGTTATTTTTGGGATCCAGACCAAAATTAATGGGAAACAGGCCATAGAATGGTCTCGTTGTGCTAACTGCTTATATTCCGCTCATACAAAAAGCAGGGAAAAGGGAAAGAAGTCTAGTGAAGGTCATGAAAGGAACAAAACAGTTACTGTGCATCTAGCTCAAGGAGCCCTCGAAACTTAAGTACCTGGTTACCTTGTACGTAGATACTGAGACTACGTGCCGGGTTACCGTGTACGTTGACAGTTGACACTCCCAAAAGATAATATGAACATGAAAAAGGCTTTACAAAACTTGAGCATAATATAATAGTGAAAGTGAAAATTCCATTCTTCCACCTTATATTGTTTTAATCTGAATCCAGCAAGTGAGTAAAACTAATGAGATCTCGAAGATTGTCCAGCCCAAAATGCTATTCTTACTTCTAGACTTTATTTGGCCATCTTTCCAGATGCACTCATTACTTTAAATTTGCTTAATTCAGCTTATATTCTTGGGTTACCTTAACTGGCTCAACCCTACTCAACATACTGTAATGTTCACAGCCCTTGCTGAATTATGAAGTGAGAAGATGATGGTCCAGACGACATGGATAGCCTTGGTCTTAGGCTTCTGGTCTTCTCTTTATCTCCTGGATGTCTTTCTGAAGGTCAGTATCAGTCAACCTCTTGTTTTCTCAAGAGAAAACTGGGAAAAGAAACTCAAAGTTATCACATTATTAAATTTCTTTATTATATAGGCCTATATGTCAACCTTATTTACCTGTCTGGTTGTAGTCAGATATGATATAACGCTTCTTTTAATTCGTTGTGTGTATCTGTGCTTGCACACACAAAGTGATTCAATCCACAAGACTTGTGATTTTTTAAAATGTCAAGGCAAAAAGTCAGCAAGCTCGAAATATGACCATGTGCCATGATTGTTATCATTGATGTTACTTTGTTTGAAACTTATATATATTAAGTAAGGAATATGGACGTGCACCTGTTTTATAGTTCAGCTGATTGGCTGATGCAACACAAGAGCTTTGTTTCTGATTCTACTTTCCTACTAGGTTACTTTAAATAAATCAGATCGACTGCACAGGCCCTTACGATGAAACTTTCTTTCTGATGTCTCTCCAAGCTGCTTTGTAAATTGTAATCTTTTAATTTTTTTAAATTACTTTTGATTTTTTATTCCTTAACTATTTTCATTTAAGTGAGGGCTGTTTCATCACAGCAGACGTAGTGTTTGTGTTGTATACGTATACTTTTTGTGTCTAGTGGTGATGATGCTAGGGGCTAATTAGGCGTGCATGCAGGATAATTTTACACTTTGTGCAAGTCGAGGAATGAATTGTTCTCTGTAGTGTTTTCTCATGTGTTTTATTTATTTTGAGCCTTCTTGTTTTCTCATGTGTTTTATTTATTTTGAGCCTTCTCTGCTTAGTTTTTCTCTTTGTGTCCCCCTCCAGGGCAGTGCTACTGGCTGAAGTTGTCTATAGATCATTCCCAAAGGGGGAATATTAACATGTTCTTATGCTCAGTAGAAGTAAAATTGTTAATTGGCTGATTTATCAATGTCATGCTCATACTGTGCTGGAACAACATTGGGGGAACTGCTGCTTTTTCTTTCCTCGTCCTTACTATCGTCATTTTTCCTATACTTCTTTTGTATGCTTGTCACTCTTGTGAACTGCCTGCTATTTCTGGGGTGCCTTGATAGTCGAAGCACACTTACTGCTGTTGAGACTAAAAAGGTGAGCAGAGTAAGTCTGATCTTCCCCATTTGGACTTCTCAGTTGACATCCACCCCTTGACGCTCATATAACCTTATGCAGTTGCGAGCATGGTAAAACCTTACTAAAACATTTCTCTTTGTTTTACTTTTTCAAATGAAGCTGGTCTCTAATTTGTATGTGAGGCATTTTGTTGAAATCAGGCGCTCATCAAAATATGAAGTGAAGAAACATGCATTTTTCATTAAGTTTGGCAATTTTTATCCTTTTTTTTGGGGGGGGGGGGGGTGTAACACTTTTGTCCATATTAAAACACATTTCCGTGTGAATTTTAGTGACAAACCTTGATTAAAATTAAAGGCACCAAAATATGTAATTTTTCCGTTTTCAAGGACTCTCAAACTATTGAAGCTACCTAACTTTGGCGGTCATTTCTGGATAATTTTACCGCTGAAACCATGCAAGCTCCTTCTATCCCTAATATCTTCACTTCTATTAAAGATAGATGGATGTTGTTTTCATTGAAAGCAAAATAAATGAATAAACTTTCAGATGATATTAATAACTCCATATGCCCCAAAATTGACGAGCGCCTGATTTCACTGCATCGTGACACATATTATATGATAGAGAAAATAATGTGAATCTTTCTGTTATTTTTCAGCAAAGTAAAAAGGCCATTGCCAGACGTTACTTGAGCTTTCTTGACAAGTCTGGGCTGTCTGTGTCTGTCTGTCAACTAAGATGGTACTCGCCCATATTCAATCGCGTCTTCCTCCGACTGGGCCAGTGGCGACCTCGTTTTCTACGCACATGGTTCACCCTTGGAGTCATCTTCTCCCTTCTGTCGATGTTGGTGTCCATCTTTATCCTGTCACTGTTGGTCATCAATACTGTCCGTCAGAGCCCAGTGGAACACCAGGTTTTGACCCCTGTGGTAAGGTTGTTGCTTTTGTTTTTTATGTACACCTAAGTATTTCACGCAGTATAGTATCAGCATGCTCTGTGTTTAAAAAAAATAATAAGTTCAAGTGGTAACTACCAATACTGTCATTGAGCTGGGCTTTTTTTATTTGTTTGGTTGAGTTTGAAGTAGATGAGTTGTAGAACTGATTTGTGTATGCCTCTCTGTCTTTTCTGAAAGATGATGGCAAGTTTTGAATATGTTGTATGTAGGGGATTTAAATATATTTTTCTTTTTTCTTGTCAATATTGCTTTTTACAACTGAGGCATGGCATGGCTGCTTTTGTTACAGTTCACATTGAATTTGGGCTTGCCCCAGATGTGAAACTAGATCCTGAAATCGTTTTGTGTATATCTATTTCATTGCCAGCAAAGCCCTTCAGTGGAAAATTAAGTGGTTAATATGAATCTGGTTTGAGAAATGTCACCCAGAAAAGTGTTAAGATTTTACATTACACTACCTCTGTGTTGAAGTGAGCCTTGAAAACTTGACCATCAGAAAGTGAAAGTGGCAATCTTTTCAATGCCCTTACATAATGGCTTGCCATGTAGTACCAACAGAATTAGAGAAAAGTGTTGAATTGATACCCTTTACAGATTTTAAGATAATGTCAAGATAATAATGGCCATGAAGCAGAATCAGAACTGACCAACTGGATATACATACAGATGTATTGAATAAGATTAATGCCATCAAGTATTTTTAAAACAGTTAATAACTAAAATTCCTCCAGAGCTGATGATAAAGGATTTATTTGTTCAGCTTTCCATGCTTAACCTCTTCACTGCTGGATAGACGTATGTTCTGGCTTGCATTCTCCATTCTTGTATTGTTTCTTCAGGTTGACAAAAGAAGTTTAAGTTGGTAAAGTTACAGCTTGTGATTTTGCTTATTCTGAAACAATTCTCTGTGTTTAAATATTCCTGGAATTAACATTTTATCTTGTCAGTACAGACGTTGATGAAAAGTTTTCAGCAGTGAAGGGGTTAATATAAGCGACAACAAATGGGGATAATGGCAATGGCAGCTTTTGTAATCCCATTATTTAATGTTTTGAAATATATAGACATTTTTTTGCAACTGGATTAAGGAGAAATTCCTACTTTCAGTTCTGTTTAGAATCACTTTATATTCCTCTTGCTCTTACAACCAAATTGGTCTTGTGTGTTTGTTTGTGCAGTGATTAAACAAGCCTTAGCCTCTGAATGGAACTGAGGTAGACGATTTTTATTTAGTAAAGAGATGCATTGTTTACTTTGACTTTGATGTTTGTAGAGCTTTTTCACAAATTAGCCCTGTTTAACTTTTGGCAGTGAAAGAATTATTGTAGTTCACTTTTTGTTTTTGAGAATGCAGTAACACTTATATATGGTATTTTTGTTTTTGCCTTTTGTGGTGTAGATGCCAGGGGTGAATTTGCCAACCAGTCAGATTTCCTACTACATGCTCACATTGTTGGTTTGTGGCATTCTGCATGAAATGGGACATGCTATAGCTGCTGTCAGGTATGATTGGGCTAGTCTTTAACTACCTGCTCTTTACTATTTAAGCAGAAATTACCCTGTCCCATTTATGATAAATGAAAGGGTGGGGTTTATTTGTTGGATGTTAACTTTGGGGATTGCATCAAAAGTGTCTTATTTGTGTCATGAAAGATGGTCAACTCCTTCAAAAATTACGAAAAACCCAGTTTTTGCATGTTCTTTCCTAAATTGCAACTAACATACCATTGGCAAAGGGTAAGTGTGAGTGTAGCACAGTTACCTTTGTTTGTATCATGTTTGGCAATTGTATGGATTACACTTGTTTGAATCCCCAATGGGGTGTTCTTTAACTTGTTTTGGGAGTTTTCAAAGCTATTTACCCGCTATTTGGGATTTAAGGTCCCTTCTCTTGAATAATGTTACAATGTGGAAAGGGGTGACAAAACCCATTAAGTCTTCAGTGACTATTGAATATGGATGTCTTGCATGATTTGGGTTAATTGTTCAAGGATGGAGCTCAGTTGAATGGATGTCCTGGGACCCTTATCTTTGTCGAAAAGGTTGATCATCCATCGTTGGCAGCCAAACATGTTAATTTCACCATTACTAAAAGAAGTAACAAAGTGCAACGAACTGAAATGAATTACGAATGAGAGCAGTAGTTGATTTTGAAAATGAAATGACTTGACAGTTCAAAAATGACTATTTCCCAGGGAGCAAGTGCGAGTGAATGGCTTTGGACTGTTCTTGTTGCTTCTGTACCCGGGTGCGTTTGTGGACCTGTCCACGGAACACCTGCAGGCCGTGTCCCCCCTGAGGCAGCTTCGAATCTACTGTGCTGGAGTCTGGCACAATCTGGTCATTGCTGTTGCTGCTGCTGTGGTTCTGGTGCTGCTGCCTGGATTTCTGATGCCCTTCTACTCGACTGGCATCTCGGTGGTCGTTACGGGCGTTGTATCGGTGAGGGATTTCTAGGGGTCTCCTTTTTTTTGCATTATGGCTGTGTCAATTGCATGTTTGGAGTTTCAGATGATGTTTTCATGATTGATTCAAAAGCCAGTGAGATTGTTAAAAAAAAAAAGTATGATAACCTTTGTTGGTCGCATGCATTAATATTGTTGAGTCTGGAAATTAAAATGTCTGTTAAAGTCTGTCTGGTAGGCAGAGTTCTGAGAATCTATCAAAATGAGTTTGAACAGTATCTCTGCTTAACTTGTTTTCCATACATATGACTTGTGACACTGATAAGACATCTAAATTACCTGTTATTTATCCCCTTCCAAAAAAGTAAAAATATGTTAATTCTATAGGTCAGGGATTCGAAACCAGACAGCGACGGCAAATTTTCTTCTCTAAAATTTTCTCTTTGCACTGTATCACCTTATTTCATGCTCTCTAATCATGTCATCTGCTTTCGTCTCCACTTTCTGCTCCTCCCCGCTCCCTCTGCTAGGCTTCTGACTCTTTCTGCAGCCTATCTACTGCTACTCCTTGGCTCCTTCTTACTGCTGTCTTTCTGCCACACCCCTGATCTTACGGTAGGTAAGATCTACAACCTAACCCTCTCGCATAAGGGCGAAAAATCTCAGAGGTCCGGTGTGGAAGCTGCGCATATTAAAGATCTGTTGGTGGTCCAAAATCAATAAGAGTAGGCTTCGGCCACTACCTGGGCAAAATTCAAAATTAATTCCTTCCAAACTGAGAATATCTAATGTGTCCCACGAGACAATTAGAGAATGTAATTTTCATGATTGGTGTAACTTGTTTTTAGGACTTGTGTTGAGAATCTGAGCACCCTTTTTTTTTCAGAACTCTGCTGTGTCTGGACCTCGTGGTTTGAAAGTCGGTGAGACAGTGACTCGCATCAATGACTGCCATATCAAGAGCATTGCAGACTGGTCGTCTTGTGTCTCGGCTAGTATGCGGGAGAAGTGGAATGGCCACTGCTTGCCTGTGGCTTTGATCAAAGAACTAGACACTTCCCCTCGTAAGTCAGATGTTCTGTTGAACCTACTCTAACGGTCGCCTGTCTAAGACAATTGCCTGTACAAACAACTACTTACCATTTCCTCCCTTGAATATTTTTTACGTTATAATAAAATATAATAATGCGTAACACGGTCACCTGTCTAATACAAACACTTTACCCCAGATAACGGGTGCCTGTCTTAGACAGTTTTGACTGTATTTTGCGACAGGTAGTTAGAAAGAGGAAATTACTATGCTGAGTGTAGTGTTTTGAGGTTTATTATAAATAAATTAGAAATTAGATAATCATCCTATTCAGCACCTTCTGCAAAAGTTTGTTTGCTTAGGGATTTGGGGGGGGGGGGGGCATGATGTTTTGTGAAAGCTGTTTTTGCTGAATAGGAGTAAGGGAAAACCTGTGATCAAGTTAGGATAATGGCCCTGATCCGGAAAGTAAATTGGAGTGGCCCTGGTGAGATCTGTTTATAAGGAAAGGTCATTTGTCCGACTGACAGCTGAAATAAGTTTGAATGTGGCATTATCTTCGATTCTTGTAGCACCTGAGATTCATCTTCCTTTAATTTGGTAATCTTCCGGGATCTTGGGCATAGACTGCCACATTCATTTTGTTGTTGTTTTTTCTTCCTTCTTTTTCATCAAGAACCTTGAAATCAAACTCTAGTGTGCTCTGTTGTTTCCCTTTTGTTTCAGGTTCCATGATCAACCGGAGTCAGAACCAGAATCCGTGGGAGGTGATTGACTGCTGTAACAGCACCAGCCCCACTCATCTGTGTTTCATGTACCACACAAAGAAAAATGCTGACACCGTGAGTTGCCCTTTCGGTTTTAAAAAATGTAGAACCGCAGATATATATTTTAGTTTGTTTTGACTTTCATACCTCTTGTTGCTTTGTTTTGCTTTTTGGCTTTTGTTTTGTTTTGGGGTTTGGTTCTTTTTTTGTTGCTTTTGTTTTTGTTTGTCAAAGGAGTTTCTCTCTTTCTTTTTTTTTTTTTTTTTAAACTCATATTTTGAGTAGGGATAAGCGCTGCCATCATTTTTTACGCTTGACTAAATGAATACCTACTTGTTGTCCTTCCCCCAGAACTATGCATGTCTCCCTGCCCGCACAGCCACGGACCGGCCAATGTGCCGCTTGCAAAGTGACTGCTATGTGCCTAAAATGGAGGCGGCCTGCGTGTACCCGGCCGTGGACAATGAGACCCGACTGCTTCGCATCTTCCACGGGCAGAGACCTCCTCTACTGTTCCTTGGCCACCCCTTGGATCTTTATTATTCTGGTGAATATCAGTTGGTCATTTTGTTGGTGTCGTATAAGGATAAAGACAGAACTTGTTATGATATATTAGTTTAGAAACCCCTGCTGGTCTCATGATTTTTTTTTTTTTGAGGAAGGGGGTAGGGGTATCAGGCATGTTTATTTATCTTGTACGTGTACATCCTTTTTACACCCCGATAACGGGTGCCTGTCTTAGACTGTTTTGACTGTATTTTGCGACAGATAGTAAGAGGAAATATGCTGAGTATAGTGTTTTGAGATTTACTATAAATAAATTAGAAATTAGATAATCATCCTCTTCAGCACCCTCTGCAAAAGTTTGTTTGCTTAGGGATTTGGAGGGGGCATGGTGTTATGCGAAGGCGCGACCGCATACGGAACGGAGCGCGACCATGCGCGCACAGACATAACAGGTGCAACAGGTGCAAGAAAGTTGTTAGTACGCTATTTAAATGTTAGTATAATCATTTTAATAGCAAATTATGATGAAAACAATGATCTTATTATAAACAGAGGGTATAGAGACAAGTGGTCGCTGGTTGGGCCAGCTACTCTTGTTTAGTAACTGAAGACACTACTCGAAGAATGTTTCCGATATGCCTTTCACTTCGAACTCGACTGCTGCAGTAGCAGACAACTGACGTTCTCGGAAAAGGATTGACCAAAAGTGGAACTAGACAAGAGACGTAACTTTAATAAAACAGATTGCACACAGGCTGCACAAAAGGAAAAATGGGAACCTGGTCGCGCTCAGGGCACGGTCGCACCAAGGGCCAATGTCTCTAGTGTCTTATCAGACGAAGCTATTTAAGATCATGTCAGAAGTTAGACTGGTTTATTGTACATATTTTGTAAAGGAAGTCTCAGCTTATGTCCAGATGAGTAAACCATGTTGTCATTTTGTTCTCTTTCAGTTTCTCTCAGTAACTATGTGCCAAAGATTTCCTTCATTCCTGTGAATCTACCATTCGTCATAGAAACATTTTGCAAGTATCCTTTTTCATAAATGGAACGTACTTAATGAATTTTTGTGAGTATCAGTATGTGTATTGTTGCTTTTCTGATTCTGTCATGAACTAACTTGATTTTGTTATGTTTTGTCTATTTTGTTCTTTTATTGACAGGACTCTAGGTCCTTTGTTCTTGCTTGCCCTTCTTTGATTATGTCCTGTTTCCTTTTTCCCAACTTTGGATTTGTTGATTTGATGTTGTTTTAGTGAACAAATGGGTAGGTGGTTGATGGGTGCTTGGATTCAGTCTAATCCTTCTTCTGTTTCAGAGGTTTTAGTGAGTTCTTCCCTGAGAAATGTGGCTATTACTGTAAGCCACTTAACTCAGTCTTATCGAAAAGGAAATACAAATGAAACTGCCTAAGACGGTCAATCATTGCCGAAGAGAAAAGCAATTGTATAGGACAGGAGTCCGTCTTGCACAGTGTTGATATGAACTATAATGTGAAAAATACGTAAGGGAGGAAATAGGAAGTGCCTGTTTGTGCAGTTGATTTATCTTATACTGGTGGCTGTTAGAGCAGGTTCCACTTTATATTTTTCTTGCTTCATTTCTCTTTCATCAGATGCCATAATTGGTCGCTTTTAACTCACTCACTGCCATGCCTGAACCCTGTCGGGTGATCCGCGTAGACCGCTGCCTGCCAAACCCGAAACCCGCCGGGTGCGTTTTTACTACTATTTTTCAAACATTCCCTGATGCGTTTCGGGCTTGGCAGTCGGCAGTCCGCGACATAAGCCAGTTTAGTTTCGATTCCGCATTGTTGCAGTAACTTCCCTTGAATAAGCCACTTAAAAATCGGGACTTTTTCAAACTCCCCCGAAACGAACTAAAAACTAGTAACGCTCAGTTGCGATGGCGACGGCGTCTCAACGAGGTCGGAACATTTGAATTGATGGACCCATTCGTCAATAAAGGGTCAGATTTAGATCTTTTTGCAGATGATAGTGATGATGAACCATCATACAGAGTTGATAATGAGTATAGGAAAGGAAATAGGAGAGGTGCGGACGCAAGTGAAGATGAAAATTGTGCTAGATCTAGGCCTAGATCTAGAATCAGGTGTTCCCCATGCTCAGACCTATGGTTCGATGCTTCCCGGTCCCAGTTCAGGCCTGTCACGCAAACGTCAAAGATCACACAACGTAGATTTAGACCCCCAAATGATAGGAATACAGCTGACGTAGACCCTCCTATGTCTACACAACAAACTTCAAATAGTGGCACCCCTCCCCCAGTGGTCATGCCCCATCCTGCAACCACACACCTTGATGTTGATGCTCAGGATGGGTGGACTGATGACTTACATGATATTCCAGTTACATAAAATTTGTCAGATATCTTTTCAAAGTGACTCTTCAACATTTGTTAGTTGATACAACATCTATTTCTTGCAGAGATAAAGATATAATGGCATGCATATCGACTGAATGTACCAAGCACCTAAATGTTATCCTGCCGAGAAATGCTTGGCAGTGAGTGAGTTAAGGACAAGCGGGCTAACCCAGATTTGGGGGGTTTCCATAAATCTTGACCTACACCAAAAGTGGGCATTGCCCTACCTATAGGAGAAGTTCGGTTTCTTTGGTGTGTATACTTGTTTGGTTATAGAGAAAACTCTCTCCTTGTCTTTTAAAGAGACGGAATAAGGATCCAAAAACTTTAACTTTGGTTTTCTCAATCAAAACAGCATTTATCGGGATAGTACCCTTGTGCTTAAAAGCGACCAATTGAGGGGCACATGAGTTTGAATACTTCCACCTTCCGCACATGAAGGTTATTGAGACTATGGTGATTGCTAGGCCCCAGTAAACCAGGGGGCCCTGGGAATTTTAATGAAATTGCTGATATCCAGAAATGCCCCAAGAATTTGCAGAAGTCTGTAAATTGCCTAGGGAAAATGCGGCAAGTTCTTCAATACTTGAAAATGAAACCTGATAAGGACAGTATGTTTATTTATTTTTTGTTCCAGTATGGCGTGAAGATGCTCATCAGTAAGTTTGGATGTTAAAAATTTTTTTTTACTTTTTAAAGTTAATGATGCTTTTTATACAGATCTGTCTACCGAAAAGACTCATGTTGAGTGCAAAAAAAGGTACGGGTAGATGTCTACTTAGTGCCCCAAAATATCGCTCTGAAGGCCTCATTTAGCTGGTTGCCAGTTTGAAACCCACTGACATAGAAGTATATTAGTTAGTCGGGCCCATCATCAAGATTGGTCAGTGAAATCGCTCTGTGCATTTGTGTCATGTGAAATGACCTCATACAAGTACAGTGTATGCCTGGGACCAGCGATTGTCGGGGCCACCAAAGTCTATTCACTCTTGATGTCTGATGTTAAAACGTTGTGAAGCTCAGGACTTTGGATTTTTTTATATTAAAGTCACGTAGAGTGCTGGACACATTACTGGAGGATAAGAACTGGAGCCAATTTCTAGATTTGATTGAAGCTTTGTGCGGGAAAGCACGCAATGATGCAGGCAGTGCAAGACTCTGCGGGTTGTTGAAGGGTGCCATTTGTCATTGGTAAGTCTTACTTCATTGCTTTCCCTCTGTTATTTCTCTGTCTGTCTTACTTTTTCCCAGCCCTAAATGACCATTGCTGTGTCGATGTGCTTTTCTTTACTCAAACAAACAAACATCAGTGTTAGACTGTTTTATACTAAACTGACAATATGCCCTCTTTACATGAAGTCTGGTTCCACAGAAGTAGAACCAATGGTCACCCATGTTGATTTTTCACAAACCATCCTTAACCAGTGACCAGGTACATTATTTCATTATCGGGAGCTTTGGTCATCCTGAATGTGGTCCCCTGCTATGCACTGGATGGTCAGTACATCTGCCGCGCCTTCCTCGAGCTGGTGCTGAGGCCTACGGTGCCAGACCCAGAGATTCGTAACTTTGTCTACAGCCTCGTCGTCCTGTTTGGGACCATTTTGCTGATTATCAATGTGATCTTTGCTATGTGGACTTTGTTTTTATGACCCAGCTGAAAGGAAGTGTGTGTTATGTGTGGGAAAATGTTTGTTAGGTTTGGTTTTTTTTGTTGTTGTTTGTGGGGGATTTTTTTTTCTCCAAGGGGGGGGGGATGCTTTTGGAATAAGATAAAGCTTAGTTTAGGTGCCATAATCCTTATTATGGGGGAAAATTGTTTTTTAACATGTAGTATACTCTTTGGAAAGGTTTCTATGAAGCAAAAACAGGGGCTGGCCAAGTCTTAACAAGTACATGTGCTTTGGTTTGGGACTGCTTAATAGAATCAGTTTTGCATTGTATTCAAATGAACAAAGGGGGGGCCTTAATGGAAATGAGGTTTATTTGAGTTTGCTTGTTGTTGTTTTTTTTTAAACCTCTCTCTGTATAAGGTTATTTGAGTTGTCATTTTGAAGTTTCTTTTCTTATTCAAAATTGCTGGTTGTGAAGATGCTTGGGTATACTGGTTCATTTCACTTTTCTGTCTCTGTGGTGGCAATTAATGCTGTTGAAAAAAGATTTGATGGACCCGAGATCTTTACAATGTATGACTGATATGTTCTTGTGGTAATGAATGCTTTGCTGTTTGTCATGACACATTTTCGTCTTTATTTGAATGTCGTATAACATTTCGGTGGCGGAAAGGCTTGCTGATTGTGTGCAATCCAATTCCTGGTGAATTTCTTTTTTTTTCTCCTCAAACATGAATGTAAATGTGCATTTGTTCCAGTCTCTCAGTTGTATGAAAACTAATTTCTGTACCTGTTTGTTGTAGCCTTGTTTTTGTATTCATTTGTGAATAACCAGTAACTGTTGAAGAAACTGAAAAACAGTGATGAATGAATGTTGGGCTATTCCATGGTAACTGATGGGACATTTGGACAATACATTCTTTCAATAGTAACTCTGTAATTCAAAATAAATTAATTTATTTCAACTTTAAATGATCGGAACATTTGAAAGACATAATTATGTGTTGCTGTACAGGAAAACCCCTCACATGGGTCACTCTATCACTTTTTGAGTTATTTACATATTTGGATTCTGCATTCTATGCTGAGCATTTTGCTTTTAATTTGAATTGATTATCTTCATTAGATCAAAAGTTATATGGCCATTTGTGTGTGGTATCCCAGGAAAGGTCACTTGAGAAAACATCATTTAGAAGCCTGCCTTTGAATTTGAGGCACCTCATGTCAGTAAAAACTCTGTTCGAACACAGAAATCGGAACATTTAATTACACCACAGTGGTTAGTTGAAGAGTTAAAACAAGAATTTGAGTTAAATCACTTACAACTGCCTGGCATCATTACTGTGCCTTCTTGCTAAATTGGCCCCGGCCAGGTCCTCTGCCACATGTATGCTGGTCTTCTCCATTTGCTTGTCCTGGCTTGGCCATCTTCTGGGGAATAGGTGTATCCTCATCCTCATCACTGGGCTCCTCTGGTGGAAGTGGAAGTGCGGGGAAAGGAGTGACGATGTCACGCATGTCTGCAGCAACAAAGGGGCATATTTCTTTGTAAAGATAAGCCCCCCTCTGGGCACTGAGACCTGACTTTGGAATGATCTCCGGCATGGTTTTCTGGTCAGGCATTTTCTTTAAGATGTCATAGCTCTGTTCATCAGCGTCAATGTTCGTTTTGTGAAACGAAAGCAGTGTTCATTGATAAGTCTTGGTGACTATTACGACTGGTGTCCTAGTGTTTTTTACTCCAAGTACGATTCTGTTCGACCCGACTACGAAAATTCGTGAGATTACACAGAAAATCGTTGAGGCGTGAGACTGGTTGTGTTTTCGTGAATGTCACACCAAAATTGTGAGGTTTTGGCATCTCTGCAAATGTCCTTCAGTTACTGTGGAATAGCCCTGTTATGAATGCAAAATTCTTTTCTTATGATTCACATGGTGCTAATTTGTCCGTTTGAAGTATGGAAATGCTGAATGCCTATGTAATAATGACATTTTGTGGCCATGTCATAAATTGTTGCTGGTGATAGATAATTTGATTTTTTTAAATGCAGTGAACTTATTAGTCATTGACAGATTTGATGAACTGTATTTTTTAAGTTGTTTATGTTTATTAACTGTTTTGAATAGATGTTTATTGTTGGATGTTGCTTTTTGTTAAAAATAAATTGACAGATCATTGGTTTTTTTTGTTTGTATCAGTGTTGGGATCTAATGGCAAATGTACAGGTCTTGTGATCTTGTTCCCAGGTTTATGCATATGATGAGTCAGTATTACATTAATATATCGCAAATCTATATCTCATCACCATGGCGAGTATCTTTGTTAGTCTTCAATTATTCAATTATTTTTATTTTTTTAATCCTTTTTTTTTTAGAGGAGGGGGGATGGGGGTGGGGGTGCTGGCAGGTTTACTATGAGATGATGCTGGGACCATTTTTAAGTATATATGTGTATGTGATGCAGAAGTTGTATTGTCTGTTACAGTTTTTTGTTTATGTTCCTTTCAGAGCATGGGGTATCTACTACACTGTGCAGCTGAAGTGTTTTTGCCACTTCTGCCTTGTCATGTTATTAGAAGGTTTCTTTTTTTTTGGGGGGGGGGGGGGTTCCTCTTTTTCCGTATTTTTTATTTACTTTAAAAAAATCCATTTATCTCTTCCTCACAGTAGATTCCCCCCCCCCCCCCCACATCAGGGCAGTGCTACTGACTGAAGTTGTCTTTAGGTCATTCCCAAAGGGGAGATATTAACATGTTCTTATACACAGTAGAATTGATTCATCAATGCCATGCTCCTACTGTGGTGGAACAAGGGGGAACTGCTCCTTTTTCTTTCCTCATTCCTTACTGTCGTCATTTTTCCTTTACTTCTTTTGCATGTTTGTCACTGTCATTCTCTTGTGAAGAGCTATTCCGTGGTGCCTTTATAGTCGAAGCAGACTTTGTGCTGTTGAGGCTAGAGAGGTGAGCAGAGTAAGCCTGATTCCCATTTGGACTTCTCTGTTGACATCCACCCCTTGGCGCTCATATGACCGTATGCAGTTGCGGGCGCTGTAAAACCTTATTAATACTAAAAACTAAACAGTAGATTGTTTATAGTGTTTCAATTGCTGTTGCCAGTTTTTTGGTATCGGGCATTTGCTTTTGGCATTATTTTCGTACAAGCAATTAGTTTCTTTTGGCTTACAGACTGATACCTTTTGAGCTAAGAAATGATTTCTATGATTGTAGTTACTTTTCTTAGAGTGGAATGTGTTTTCCTGTTGTTCTCCTGATAATTTTTTTCTTTTTTTTTTTTTCACCTTGAGATCTTTGGAGTTGAAACATCATGGCAGCATAAATTTGTAGGGTGATATGTTATGTAAATGATATATATGGTTTTCTGTACGTGCCTACTTATAGTGAACCAAAATGGACTCGATCTCCCTCAGAGCTTCATATTGTTGAGACCTGAGTAAATGTGTGGATATGATATCAAAGTCTGCTTACTTGTCTGTACATACACGTGCTCACACTTGTTTTGACTGTGTTCAGAAGTGAAGTATACATGTACATTCTGTCCTCAAGCTTATGCATACTTGTTTGGGGAGTAAGTATGCTCCTTGATCATTGATGATATTGGATGTTTACGGACACCTGACAAATCACTTATCTTCACACTTCACATACATTACATATCTGTCACGTTCCCTCAACCACTGTCTTTGGCATCTGTGGTGTAGCGGTGTGACAATTAGTTGTCGGCTGCAGGAGACCCATGTGGGAGGATAATATTTATCAAGTATCTTTGTCTTACTATTGGGTATTCCCGAGACCGCCCCACTAACAGGGAATGGGGTCATGCCGAGTAGAAAGCGTGTAATGAAGAACGATGCAGTAGGCCTAGCCCAGACTAGAGCGTCTGGCGAATCTGCTCGAAACAGGCGCAAAATGTTGATAGCAAGCAGAACATAAATTGTTACTTGTATTTTAATGTAGAATTTTAAACAAATTACTAGTATTTTTGGTGAAGTTGTAAATTATAATTTATGAAGACTAATTTACTTTAACGTAGGATAGGCCAAGATCTAGATCTACTCCTGCTAGTAATCTAAATCGTACAATGAGCACATGTCCTACCTAAATTTACTGTTAGGCCTACAGACCACAGCACATTTTTCCCTCCCCGTCCCTTTGGCAAGCGATAAGCCAGCCTATACATCAGTGCGAAAAGTGTTGGATTAGGGTCATGACTAAGACTAAGAGAAAATGAAAAGACATTTTGCTTACTGCGCTGTAACCAGAGGTAGCAGCATGTTACAAAACAGAAAAAGGTGCCTACAGAAAAGGAGGAGAAGTCATGTAACAAAATTGAAAGATGTTGATATTGCAAATTACACATGTTGGGTCAGAGCAGGTACGATGTAAGCAGGTAAATGCGTGTTTGTCAGAAAAAATGAGAGAGAGGAAAAAAGGGCCCAAAGTAGGCCTAATAAAGTCAAAGTTTCACCGTACCACACGAGGCAAACACCTAAAACAACAAATCCAACAGCATGAAACGGCACACAGTGACTCACCCAAAGCCTTGACAGGTAATACTCCAGTGTCTGATCAGGAGTAGGTCACTGTGACATCGATGAGAGTTTTTCCGCCTTTCTTTGCTTGTTAGATGTATCATTGGTAGAATTGGTTTCTTGTGATGTGAGGCAGGATCATTTCATCGTGGTTTTAACGATCCTAGGCATTTTTAATAACATCGAAACCTTGGTGAAATAGAGCAGGAAAATCTCTCGATGCAGAGATCAGTCGCTTGCGACAAGTAAACTCCTTGGATGTTGCTTTAAAGAAGCAGTATGCATGAATGAGGAGCTGGAACAACTCTGTCGATGGGTTCTTCAATCTTCCCCTGTTCAATTTTTCACTGAAGAGGGAAAAATCCAGACATTATGGATAACTATCACTTTTCAATATGTGTTCTGTGTGTTTGAAAGAAATGTAGCCACTAATAAAAAATAAGGTCATTTTCTCATCATCTGTCCATGGCATGCGTGCTCACCACATCTGCCGTGATGTAGGCTAGTATGTGCAATCAGCAGATCTTCTGAAGTAGGCATATTAGGTTCAAAGAATCCAACAGCCTCATATTGGCGCTTCAATGAAGATAGTGACATGAGAATGTCCAATGGAGGGCGTATGCAATATCTCTAGTAAGAGATTTCATCTTCATGCCTCTTTGTGCCATTTTTTTGGCAGTGTCAGCCCAGAACTGTAGAATGTCAAGCTTGTGCTTTCCCGTTGTTGAAAGGCTAATCGGTGTCGTCTTCATTTTTTAAGTGAATGTGGTATTTGGGGGCTTAGACCTCGTCCATTATCAAGACACTTTGTCTGGAAGGCTTTGGTTGGGATGAAAACACACTTGCAAACATAGACTCATCTCCTGTATTCTTTTCGGTAGTTGTGATTTTGTTCAGGGTTGACAACGATAGGAGCTGTATCAACTTTCGTAGCTCAAGATGCAGTGATTTTCTTGTGCAGTTGCGATCGTCCTAAAACTGTTACTAAAACAAACAAGCTGTGGTCTTGAAAGTGAAAACCGGGAAAATGCTCGCAGGAGGTCTTTGTGGCTATTAGTCCTGGTGTTCTTTGGTGCTTTCAGAAGCTCAATGCATTTGTTTCTGAAAATCACTTTTTCTTCTGATGGCATGATCGGAGCTTCCAAAACAAAGCGCAGCAGCTCGTCCAGTTGGCTCCAGTACTGATTCACTCTCAAGAATGGGTGGTAAATTGGTAAATCCTTTTGACATTAGTATGTCTCACAAAGTGAAATGACATAATATCCCTTCTCTCACAGCCATTACTCGTAGTGAAGTAAATTGACCTATCCGGGATTGGTCCCTTCCTGTTGCAGCTTATGAAAGCAAATGATGCAGAGGCTTGTGCTGGCATACTCATTGAGCACCCCACGGGGCAGTGCCACTGACCTTAGTGTTTTTAGGCCTTTCCCAAAGGGGGGACATTTCTCCTTCAAGCATAGTAGAATTGTAAATGGGCTGACTCATGTCACGCTCATAACTGTGCCTGATCTACAACAGGGAACTGCTGCTTTTTCTTTCCTGATCCTTACTATCTTCCTTTTCCTCTACTTCTTTTGTATGTTTGTCACTCACTTGTGACCTGCTATTTCCGGGTGCCTTGATAGTCGAAGCAGACCTTGTGCTGTTGAAGCTAGAGAGGTGAGCAGTCTAAGTCTGATTCCCTGTAAAGACTTCTCTGTTGACACCCACCCCTTGGCGCTCATATGACCTTATGCAGTTGCGAGCGCCGTAAAACCCTCTACTATAAAAAAATATATATACTCATTGAGTCAGAACTGTTAGTCACAACTGCGAAAAATTAAAACCCGGTTTTTGTAATTTAGACAGGAACATGTCATGATAAGTGCTTGGTTGAATGGTGTCCTGTCTAAGGATTTCATCAATTTGATCCACTTCTACATTGCGAGCTTCCTGAGTTACATTCTTTGTTGAACGTGGTGTGGTTTGATTAGGGGTGGATATGAATGAAGAACGTTGGGAAAGAGATGGAAGGGGGTACAGCAAATACTAAGTGTCTACTTCTGTGAGCATGAGTAAATGAGGCATCCTTTGGCCTGTGTGATGCAAACACTCCCATATTTCCAGTTACGTCTTCGATTTTCAGCTTGTTTCGTAGGCACAATATCCATTGTTGCAGTTTATTCTTGTCTTGAGGAAAGGAATACACAGGTATCTTTTCTATTGATGCACTAATTTTATAGTTTGTGTTACACCAAACCACAGAGCACTTTTTCTCTGTGATGATGGTTTGCTTGTTTTGAAGTTCAGGTGTCTATCATGAGATGACAGCATTTCACTTGCTTGATTGAATTTACATTGGCCTACGACACTGTCGTCAGTTCCCAGACAGATCACACTTGATTTTGATCTAGTCACTAGAAAGAAACACAAAGAAGAGGTACTACTCCAGTCGGCTGCACCACTATGGCATGAATTTTTAAGTTGCTTTCACTTTCATATAGCCGAAATGGAATGATTGCCACATCGACTGACCGGCCTCAAAATCACAGTCCATTATATTTTATGACAGACACAATCCGCTAGAAAAAAAGCTTTTAAAGGTCTAATGATTTTTAGAGTTTCATATAATATGCGTGTAATTTTGTCTTTTGTTTCTAATAAGAAATGACGAGCACATTCATACCGTCTGTTAATGTTTTGGAGTCTTAGAGACCGATCAGTGATCACATGGCCTGCTAGTCTTTCCATCCAAAGTAATGAAGGCTTTTTA